TGTATATTGTCTCACTGCTTATTTAACTTATATGCAGAATACATCATGCGAAAGGCTGGACTGGAGGAATCCCAAGCCGGAATTAAGATTGCTGGAAGAAATATCAATAAACTCAAATATGCAGACAATGCCACTCTGATGGCAGAAAATGAGGAGGAATTAAAGAACCTCTTAATGAGGGTGAAAGAGGAGAGTGCAAAACCTGGTCTGAAGCTCAACATCAAAAAAACTAAAATCAGGGCCACTGGTCCCATCACCTCCTGGCAAATAGAAAGGAAAGTGATGACAAACCTAGACAGCATCTTAAAAAGCAGAGACATCAACTTGCCAACAAAGGTCCGCATAGTCAACGTTATGGTTTTTCCAGTTTCAATGTATGGAAGTGAGAGCTGGATCATAAAGAAGGCTGACCACCAAAGAATTGATGCTTTTGAACTGTGGTGCTGGATGAGACTCTTGAGAGTCCCCTGGACTGCAAGGAAAACAAACCTATCAATTTTGAAGGTAATCAACCCTGAGTGCTCACTGGAAGGACAGATCCTGAAGCTGAGGCTCCAATACTTTGGCCATCTCATGAGAAGAGAAGAATCCCTGAAAAAAAACCCTGATGTTGGGAAAGTGTGAAGGCAAGAAGAGAAGGGGACGTCAGAGGATGAGATGGTTGGACAGTGTCATCAAAACTACCAACATGAATTTGACCAAAACTTGGGAGGCAGTGGAAGACAGGAGGGCCTGGCGTGCTCTGGTCCATGGGGTCACGAAGAGCTGGACAGAACTTAACAACTAAACAACAGCAACAACTGGTGCTGTAGCCTGCATCCTGAGGAACTCTTGTGGGTAAAAGGGTGACTATACATAATGTCATTGTGAGAACCTGCACTTCTAAGTTACGACTACACCACCAGGAAGAGAATGAGTAAGTGCTGACTTCCCCTGTCATGTATACTAGAACAAGGTCACTTCAGTGGTAGATAATCATCTGTCAACATTCCGGTAGACGTACCTCATGATCTTGTAAGTCATAATCTAGTTGGAGAACCTGTTTAACAGCTTGAGCCACTCTTCTCTGTCGTTTATGTAAGAACACTTGCTCCTGTTGGCAGAGATCATATCCCAAACGCACATCAAGGTCTCCTGGGCAGCTACAATGACTAGGATACACACAAACACATACATTGTATTTTATCTAAATAAATGAGAAATCTTAGGTTTTATCAAGCAGAAATATAAGGATTAGCAAATTATTCATTCAGTGTTGTATTATGTGAAATAATCATTGGTTAGTTAGT